ACGGGACTGCAGAGTCCACTCGGTGCTCGATCTTCTTCTCTTGCCTTAATTGAAATAGTGAATCACCTACTTCCTCATCTTACTCACTCTGTCCCCGACTGTTTTTCCTCCATCTCTGCCTTTGAGCTCCTCTCTTAAGCTGCGACTCGGTCCGGCTCGGTTCGGCTCGGTCCACCTGTCTGCAGCTGGACTAGAGCTCCACCTTCATCGCCTTTTTTTTTTTTGCATCAAAGACACTAAAATAACTGACTAAACTTCACCCTAACTATGAAATATAGTTATACAAATATAATAAATTTAATATATTTATATCTTATTGCTGACTTCCGATACCGCTGTCTCTCCATCGCAGCCGAACTTTATTCAACTTCCACCTATTTTTATTTTTATCCTCCTGTGGATTTTTTTTCCGCTTGTCTAATATTTTCAGGCTTCAGTCAGAAATGAGTTTGGGGGGTTTAGGTTTGTTTGGCGGAGTGGGGGTGACACCAGAGGCTGGAATGAGGTGTTTTTCCTCCATGAATCAGCCCTATTTTGTATCCTCCTGCTGCAACGTGCTTCAAATATGACGAACATTCATAAAAAGGGCCATAATTTTATTTAATTTAATATATAATTTAATCAGTGTATAATTATTTATTATTAATTCAGTTAGAATGAGTGGAGCACTCGTAAACTATATATGGGCATTTTTTCAGATAGCAGATCCTCCACTTTTTCACTTCCTGACCTCCCTCCGAACTTCGTGCTCTTGTGGCGCTGCATCGTGACGTCACATCAAACCCTCCTATTTACGTATTCATTTAGGTTCAGAGCAACATGTAGAATTGAATGATGCAAAAAACTAAAAACCTGACATATTAAAAAACAATCAAACAAAAGCTATTTTGGTAATATTGTTTTAAATTATATGGGATTCCGAAAAGTCATACAAATGTATACAAAGTCTACGGAACAGGTGTTTGCAGCCAGTTTTCTTATTGTGGACTTAAATTTGAAGAAAAAAACTTTATTTTTCATGTATTACATCCTCTTTAGTGGCAACAGTGTTAKATTTGATATAGATTTACAAGACAGAGCACTGACAATTTTTTCCAGATGTTTCATTCTGCAAGCTTGTATCTAAAATAGCTCTGATCGATGTGCAGACCAATGGGACCTGTCATCTTATGAGCAACCCTCTAAGTTCTTCTGCTTAATATAGCAAAAAAAAAATGCCAATGTTTCAAAAAAGATTTCACCAGCAGCTTTTAGATGTGGAAGTATCACTGAGGACTATCAGATACACAGTTATATGTGAGGAATGTGGGGATGACAAAGATTCTGTTAAAGATTAAACCCACTTTAGCCTCTATCTGAACTCAAAAACATCCACACAGCACAAAGGCAGTACATTAGCAGCATCTTCTGGAACTTGCCTAACATTGCAGTTTTTACTGAAGTTAGCATATACAGTACGGTGCAAAAGATTTAATAATCACCATGAATGACGAGTGATTTTGTAATTGCCTATAGTTGTGTGAGTATGTATTTGTTCATCTGTCTGTTGGCAAAATATCTTCTAAATCAGATTTTATTAAAACTCTGAGAAATAGTCACTGGATGTACAGTTAGGTCCATCTRGTAAAGCATGTTTTAAACACAATCCTTTCATTTCAGGGGCTCAGAAGGAGTTGGACAAATTCATTACTTATAAACAAAATGTTTATTTCTAATACCAGGTTGAAAACCCTTTGGTGGCAATGACTTACTGAAGTCTTGAACTCATGGACATCACCAGATGCTGTTTCCTCCTTTTTAATGCTCTGCCAGGCCTTCACTGCAGCGCTTTTCAGTTGCTGTTTATTTGAGGGCCTTTCYGTCTGAAGTTTAGTCTTTAACAAGTGGAAAGAAGATCTTGTACTACATGCATGCTTGCRACCGCACWCAAACAGGTGTTTACATCCTGGGTTTTCTGGTCAGACACTGATTGAATATGTGCATATGTATGTATGCATGTGTATATAGTATATGCATATATAGGTATACCATTCAGCAAGGTTATAATCATTATAATTATATAGATATGTATTTTTGTTGCTGTGTTTTTGTTATCTCTGTTTCTGTATACAGCCAAGATGTTGGGTGTGTTGTCTTGTGGTTTCTCTGTATACTGTACAGTATATTACACATATCTTCCAATCTCTCTTTCACTCTTTTCTATTACATTTCACTATTTTTTTCTTTTCTTACCYTTTCTTCTTCTTTAAAAAAGTCACTGATGATGAAGAAGTTAAGAAAATGATATTCAGTTTTGCTTTTTACTGAGGTGGCAAGAAAAAAAACAAGTGGAATTCATGCTCTATTGGGATGAGATCAGTTTCTCCTGGGTTGTTTTTGGCTTTGTGTTTTGGGTCATCTGTATTATGAAACTTCGACCAATCAGTTTATCTGCAGAATTGAACACAGTATGTCTCTGAGTAACTCAGAATTCATCCAGCTGCTTTCTGTCCTGTGTCACATCATCAATCAACACTGGGCAGTCATGAATATCCAAGCCATCACACTGCTCTGCTGTGTTTTACAGATGATGTGGTGTGCTTTGGATCATGAACTGTACCATGCCTTCACCATACTTTTGTCTTTCCATCATTCTGGTAGAGGTTGATCTTGGTTTCATCTGTCCAAAGAATGTTCTTCCAGAACTGTGCTGCTTTTTTAGATATTTTTTTGTTTGTTTGTTTGTTTGTTTTTAGCAAAGTCCAATCTAGCCTTTTTATTCTTGAGGCTTATGAGTGTCTTGCAGCKTGCASTGAACCCTCTGTATTTATTTTCATGCAGTCTTCTCTTTATGGTAGATTTGGATATTGATACTTCTACCTCCTGCAGAGTGTTGTTCACTTGGTTGGCTGTTGTGAAGGGGTTTCTCTTCACCGTGGAGATTATTCTGCCATCATCCACCACTGTTGTCTTCCGTGGGCCTCCAGGTTTTTTTTTTTTGCATTGATGAGTTCACCAGTGCTGTCTTTCTTTCTGTCCTTTTAATCCCAATTCAGACAAATCCAAGCAAATGAATTTCTGTACAATTAGAATTCAAATTTAAGAGGAAAGATGTCGACGCACAGTATTGTATTGCATATAAATGTATACCAATGGCAGAACCTTCTGGTGGCCAGAGCAGGCCATTCTATCCTTGAGTGCAATGCACAGTGATGTGTCAATGCCTTATTTTCAGTGAACCTCAAAAAAGCATGACAAACAGTGTCAATATTCAAAGACATTGAGCAGACAMATTCATATATATATATATTAGTACCTAACTCTTGAAAACAAAGGCCACATTTATTCTCCTTTTCTGTTCAAATCAACTTGTTTCTGTAACAGTAAATAGTGGTTTTGCCTTTAAGATGAAGAAAAGTGTTAAAATATAGACTGGTATAAAGTACCATGATTACAGATGTATATGTACTGGCAAGAGTAGGTTGATTTAAAATCAGGTTATAATTTGCAGACAGTGAAAGATGACATACATTTAAAGGTAATTGATTGATGTCGTTTATCTGGTATGCTTTGAGGAAGCGGTCACCAACCTTGGTCCTCGGGGCCCACCTGCATGTTTTAGATGTTTACCTTCTTAAACACACCTGATCTAAATGAATGGACCACTAACAGTCTTTTGCCAAGGAGGTAATTCAGTCTGAGCTGGGAGTATGCAGAAAATGTTGGGTGCATGAAAAAATATCTGTACGCAATTCAAAGGGTGGAAAATTAAATCTTTTACATGCTGGGTACTAATTACAAAGAATAACAAACACAAAGAAGCCAGGTGCTTTTAACTCCCGTCATTTTGTGCAAAAGAATCCGCGATCACCTCTGCAAGACCATCCAGTACTGGATTCTTAATGGGTGCAGTTCAAAGGGTTCCTCTACCACTCATAAAATAGTGAGTAAGTGCTGGCAGCTCTAGCTACTACTTAGAGAACACAATTTCTTCAAAGACTCCAGGGATGTGGTCTTCGCCTATAAAAAGACCAAAGTCATACCGGGGCTTTCAAGGCTTTTTTTTTTTTTTTTAATGGGAGCAGTAAGTACATTTTACCAACAGACGGTGCTGTGGCATAAATTTACAGAGAAGCTGCCACTTCTCTTCTGCTTACAATCAGGAATAATCCTTCTCTCAAGGTTCRGGAACTTTATTGTCTATTCAAATCGAAATCCTTGCTAACTAACATAACACGGAACATGTGCGGTGAAAATGATATGTTAAAAATGTAACAGCTTGCAGAGGAGGCCCGGGACTTGTGGTTCAGGTTAAATTATGAGTTTGAAGAAAAAATAAAAAGAATATTGGACTCTGCACTGTTTTTTTTCTTTTTCTTTTTCTTTTTTTTTGGACATCATTCACACCTGGAGTTTTGCTGCGACTGGGAGACGGGAGGTTTTAATAATCCAGGGTCTGTTTCTTTGTGTAACTAAACACCCCTACTATGTCTTTTGTCTTATCTGAGATTGAGAAGGGAAAACCTGGCAGGTGTTCCTCCCCTCAGGCTACAGACTTCTAAAATAAGGAAAATAGAGTGTGAGCTAGAATGAAAGGGGGCATGCACGCATCCACACACACACACACACAAGTTTGCACAGCCATCCAATTGGGGACATTCCATTGACTTCCATTACATTTCTACAGCCTAACTCTGACCATTTACCTCAAGGCTAACCTCACAGGTACCTACCTACCTGACCCTAAAACTAACCTAAACTCAATTCACACCTTGATCCTAAACCCAACCCCCAACCCACCGATGCCATTTAAACCAAATGGGGACTCGACTTTTGTCCCCAAATGCACCAGATGTCCCCAAAGGTAGGATTTTTGTCTTAAAATTGCCCCCAAATGTCACCAAAGCCGAACTCACACACATTCACACACACCTGGGGAGTTTGACATGCATGTTCTAAGTGTGTTGATCACACAACCAGTTGCTGTTACATGCAATGTAAACATGTCTGAGGGTCTGTATTAAATACTCATTACAGAGGACCGGGTAAGCTCTGGGAGAGACCGGGAGAGAAAACAAACAAACCCCACAGGGTGGCTGAGAYGGGCGGTGCGGGGCTGAGGGAGGCCTCTCCCAGAGTAATTCAAGTTCAATAACTGACCCTTAACCTTACTCTAACTCGGGTTACACAGTTCTGGTGAGACAGATTGTAGGCCCAGTTTCCTCACAGCTGTGGATACTATACACCTCTACAGGAGCTTTACACACACAGACACAGTACCAAAAACAAAACAACCCCCTCCACAAAAAAAAAAAAAGGTCAGTTGGCAATATCAACAATCACTCTGAGTATTCTAGCATATCAAATGGCARCGTGGATGACAGGTTCCCATTCGGCGCACATTTTGGGATGATGTAAAGAAACCAGGACCACACAGAGCCCCTTTTCAGAGCCAGGAAGCAGAGGACATCATTCACCTGCACAACTGCAGCTGGGCCAGTTTCACTCTGTCAGAAAGAACTCATTATCTGCAYGTCAAAATTACTGCAGAAAAAAAGAGACTTATCAAACTACTGACAAACWTTTMATTTTTTTTCTTTCTTTCCAGTTTGCACTAATGCAGATCTGGAGCAATCAAGAAGTTCAATTGTCTGCAGAGGCTCAGCAGGAAATGAGTCAAAGGTGGGTGATATTGTTTTTACATGTATTGGTGTTTGTGTTTTTTGTTCCTGTCTGTTAGCGAAATATCTCATAAATCATTGAAATGAGTTTAAGGGTATTTGCAGAATGAAACCATTGGCTGTACATCTACAACTCCAACTTTTGAAGTGAAGATGGCTGCCATGCACCTTTGTTTGCAGTGGTGGAGCCAGACATTTTTCTCAGAGGTGGCCAGACTGGGACCAACTACTCACACAGGGATGGCCAGGAAAATTACATCATTTTTTGCTTCAAGGTTTTTGAAGATCTTTGTGTTTTGGTCATTTCCTTATGTCCTTATACAGGCAGTGACTACTGTATAAACATGGGTGTCAGAACCATTTTAAAAGTGGGGGGACACACTGTTGGGGGGGGGGGGGGGTCCTCCTCCAGAAATTTTTTAACTAAGTTGATGCCATTTCCTGCATTCTGCTGTATTTTACCAGGTAGTTTAACATACTTTTACCTAAATAAATTAACGCTTGATTTAATAATTATTTCAGAGACAGAGTACTTATTGAACTAGTTCCATCGTCCTGTTTTTAAACTCACTTCTTTGGCTGAGATAAGGTTAATTAATGTGACACAATTTATCATATCTAATAATTTTAGGGGTGCCTTTTCTTTTATTTTGTTTATTGATTTATATTTATTGTAAAACATGTCAAATTTTGCCAAATAATGATGACCCTCAACTGCATGTTTAAACTAATATTAATAATTTTACCCAATGAACAGGTGCAATACTGATAACCACCAACAGTAAATTTAGATGGGTGTTTCACTATTTCTGATGTAGTGATAGGTCTACTCATAACTAAAAGGGACAGATCATCATGCAGCCTTCAGAACATAAAATTACACAGTATGGTGACAAAAAAAGGTGATAGCTAAATAAAACATTTAAATAACATATATTTTAATCACTGAAACTTTTTATTATCCGTTTAAAAACTCCATTCTCCTTTTATTTCTCAAGAAAAATCCGGCTCCTCTGTCATTCAGGTCCTCCTGTTTCCGTTTCAACAATAAGTCCTTTTCTATCACCACCATGAAGCTAACACTGAAAGTCCAGTCTGTTCTGTTCTGTATTTTTGTTATTAGTTTAATTTCCTGTAATGCTGAGAATGTCCACTCAGCATTTAGCTTGTAAGACGCTACAGAAATCTAGTTTCCAGGTTGTGACTCCTGCTCTCTGATCAGCCAAACGATGAGAAAATGATGACGCTATCTGAGGCCAGCTCGCAGGCCCTGAGGTCTTCAACTCAGCACCTGATTGGTCAAAGCAACAGTATCACTGCTGTTTGTTTCACCCTCCAGGTGCCTTCGCTGTTCGTTCTGAAGGCCTGAGGCAAATTTCTGGACCCTAGCAACAGATGATGATCGAAATATGATTGGATAAAAGCTCTAAATAAATACAAGCTGCTGGACGCTGCGCAACCAGGAGAAAAACTATGAAACGAAGAGAACAGGTGATTCAAAAATAATAAAAATATCTTTATAATAATATTAATAACTATTATAWTAAATATAAAACATTCTAAAATGTAGTGATTCTGATTGTGTTTAGGCCAACAGAGAATCCTTTGCTGGCCCTGACGGCACACATGCKTTTGACACATTTGTTCTTTTTATGGTATTTTAGACCCGGACGTTAAGGAGATATAAAGAAAACCATCACTTACTTGTCTTTACTCTTCTTCMGTGATAGAGCTTGGTGATGTTTCAAACTGTTAAACACTGCCACCAACTGTTCAGGAGGATTATTACACCCCTAAACGTTGTTTCACTGTGAAAGGGGTGTGTGCAGCAGGGTGGCCAATGGGGTGGCCAAAGATTTGTCTGCAGTGGCCATGGCCACCCCTGGCCACCCCCTGGCTCCGCCCCTGTTTGATTGACCAGTCCAGAGTATACCCTGCCCCTCGCGCAGTGATTGGTGGACTTGGGCACCAGTGACTCCTGTGACCCTGAAAGGAAGAAGCAGGTAAAGATAATGGATGGCTACATTGACCAASTGACCTTGAAAAACAAACAACACATCTATAACTGTCAGTTTGACAAATATTGAGCTAAAATTTGATGTGTAAGTAGATCACYAACATTCACAACACACACTCACACAAAGTGTAACATCTTGTGATATCACATAAGGCTGCTCATCGCAAAAAAAATTTTAAGGTTTTCACCAAGACAGGTACWCCTCTGTCCTGATGCATTTCAATMATCCAGGTAGAAAAATCTAAAAAYGTTGAGTCGGGTTCTCTGGATGGATTTTTCTTMGTTGAAATGTTCCATCTCTTCTTCAAGGGTACAACTCCGCCGTTCCTCAACAAAACCTCATTTTATTCTAAAAGGCTGACAAGAAAGGTCACAGGTGATATGCATTCCTTCAAAACGAATGATAGCTCTTTCATTTTAYCTGCAAACTGAATGTACAAATCAAAGGATTAGAACCAGACATTCCAATTTTGAAAAACACACCACCAGTTTTGTGTTTGTGTGGTCCAAGTGGTTGAAATCYTGTGCTGTTTTAGTATAACCCAGACAGTGGTATACAGAGAGAGAACATGTATCTACTTAAATATAGTTTTCACATTACAATAAAGAACAATGCAAACAAAAAAAGAAAAGAATTTATGTAAAACTTTAGCCGCCACCATTCTTTCCAACCACTTGACTCCCAACAGTGTTTTGCTTTGATTTAGAGACACTCATCCCAGATATCTGTGCCTTTGGGCATCTTTTGCTTCTATTGTGTGGTGCAACAGTAGATGGGGCTGCAGGCCTGTCACATWAAAAAAAAGGCTTTCCTTCTATCTTGTCTTTTTCCTTACATTATTGCCTATATCGTGCATGAAATCTCTCTGATCACTTATTGTTTGCAGTCAAAGCTTACCTTTATCTTATACTGTTATTTCAAAACGGATTTCTAAGACAAAGCAAAAGGCATATTTGTGTCTAACTGAAAACCAGGATTTATTTGACCCTTGCTCCTCCCATTGCGACTTTACAATTTAGTCTGTTGTTWTGAGCAGATCTACCGATCAGCAATGCACAACGCTCCCATTGTCCACGGCCTGCAATGGCACAGCTCCAGAGAGGGCGTAAAACTACTGTCTGCTCTGATAGCAATCTGTAGTAAAAGCTTTTCTCCCAATCCTGACATGCAGCAACAACTCGCAGCTTATGACTCAAACTAAAAAGCCAGTTTTAAGGATAGTTCTGTGCCCCAGAAACAGTTTTAAAAAGGGATTACGTCTGAGGTAAGCTGGCCATAGGTGTGTGCCTTGGGCCAGGTGCTAAGGATCAAGCTTTGTGCTGTGGTAGAGCTTTTTCTCCTCAAGTGGGCCCAAATCCTTTTAAGAGAGAAAATGCTGATGTTTACATCCTTGCTCTGACCCCATCTTGGCCTCTTCACTCAAGCATTCCTGCCATAGCTGTGACATCTAGCTAAGCTTAAGGACACCAGAGGGACAGTAAAAACAACACCTAATCACGCCCAAAGGGTGCCCCCCCACACCCCGCAGCCCCACACAATGATAACATTTCAACCCCTTAACCCCTTTGTGTTTCTGCGTGCACCTTAATGTAAGATTGCATTTGTGTGTCATTGTTGCAGCGGATGGTTCTGCAGAGAAGTCCCTTAAATCGCAACCTCAGGATTCTGCGCTCAYCAGCTTTATCTCAGAATCAACATTGGGCTCGGACGGAAATCCTTTTCGGATTATCACATTTTCCACACCAAGGCATACTTCACCTGGAGGGGTATACTTACTCTACAGACGATCATTCTACTATGTGACTTAAGAAGGTAAAAATCATGATTATACAGTGTACAAAGGCAATGAAAACACCATATTTTGGACAGTTTTTCAAAATTAKTTGTTTTGAAGATGCATCTGCTCTTTTGACATAAAGTCATTTCACAACACTTAGGTGATACAAACACTTTTCTGGCATAACATGAGTGAAACAGTAACTGCATCGCCCAAATATATGTTATCAAAAAGGCTGTAAACTTTGCTGGTGGAAGGCTGCTGGTGTGTGGAGAGTTCTGGCTGCAGAGAGCTGAACTTGAGAAGACAGGTCAATGTGGGTCAACTGAGTCCAGCTAAACAAACACACAGTATCAAAGAGGAAATTTCCTGTCCAATCTGCAAGTTTTCACTTCACAGTTAGTGTTCGTTCACAGGATGATCCTGAGGGATTTGCACAAATGAGTGTCTATTCAGGGAAACGTTGTTAACCGATCACCTTAATGTGTACATGGCAGAACAAACAGCWGAACGATCCAGAACAGGCAAGAAAGCTGAGATAAGAGGGAGTTAATTCACAGTTTGGGTGAATTTTCTTTCAACATTTGCTTTCCTGCTTTTRAAGCAACTCGTATTTCATTTGAATAAATACTGTAAGAATGATATTTTCATTTACGCTAAGTTAGATCCGGCTAAAGTGCTGCACGCAGCTTTGTCACACAACAATTAACCATCAGTGAGGTTTTGGCTCTGAAGCCCTGCAACGTTTCAATTTGCTTCCCAGCCATAATTCCTTCCACCCTGTTCAACTCTGTTACCTGTCAGCTCTGCAGAACTACTGCATTTCTTATCTTGACATGCACATACATATAAGCAAGTACACATGTGCACAGCCATATGTTGCAAACACTAAGAACTGATAAAATAGTTCTTACAGTTGTGAGCACTTCCATAATTTATAGGAGGATAAGTTTCTAGGCTTAGTGCTGCAGCARTGTCTCCCTACAGGAGAATGATTATTTGTTGATGGAGTCATTTCCAACTAGATAAGATATGAAAGCAATAGGTCAGATGTTTTGAAGTAAGTTTCTAAGAAAATGTTGTGAAAAAATCATTTATTACTTGCCGTAAAAGGATTTTTTAATTACCTCAGTTTTGATGAATCGGATTTTAATTCTTACAAGAATGAAAAGCTAGTCTGAGCAGAGCCTCAGAGCATTTTAGACTAACTCCATTCTCAAAGATTTCTGAAATGTTTTTATGATTTCTATTTTACAAACATTTAAACTGCTRGAAAGTTTGCATTACACACTTATTCTGGGAGAAATATTCTGGAGAAAGCAATCCAGGCTGCATTAGAAGTGCTGGTAGCTGATGATATTAYTTGCGCTTGCAAAAAAAATCACATCATTCTATTAAAAAAAGTAATGTAAAACTGACAGAAATGTAAAAGCTTATAAAACAACATTTACACGATCCACTATTTAAAACCAATTTGAGACTGGAGTTGTTTTAAGATGGCAGCTATTCGCTTTGGTTTTGGCCTTGCTCAGATTAGCCATTAGCTCGTTTATTTAGGTGAAAACAAAAYTCTTTTAAAATGCTGAACTATTCTTTTACTATTCTTTTTAGGCTTAATGCAAACCCTATCAATGTTTAACATATGAAAATAAATTATTTTTATTAGAAAGTTAGATGGTGTTGAACAATTAAATGAATAACAGTAATTTAAATTTTATTAGAAAACTGCGATAAACAAAAGCTATAGAGCCGGCTAACACTAATGACTGCCTCATGTGAACACAGTTTTGTGTTCCTCTTTTTGGTGTCTTAAAGCTTAGCTTTCAGAGCTTCTGTGTATGTGGTGACGTCTCTTGTGGCTGCGTATAAAAAGTTACTTAAAGTACAAGAGCACATGCTCACTGTATTATTGTGAACAAGTATGGTTTATATGTGCGCCACTGAAAGGMCCTCCCCCACCATATTGCACAGATTTTTCATCACATGAAAACCAACAGGGGGTGGTATGCATTCAGGGCGAGTCGCTTCCATGTGCCCTGTCCACTTAAATTAGTTGGGCCTCGCATCAAGCAGCATCTGGTTCCAATATGGAGCCAGGCGGAAGGGTGGGTGCCTCAATGTGCGGCGGAAAATACAGCCTACTGTACCTTTAAATAGCCCTCAGGAGGCTAAAGATGCTGGCGCTATCGTCCTATCCCGAGATTCTTTGTATCTGGCCTTACACTTCTTCCCTTTGAAAGAGGACAAATGTACAATTAGGCAGGAATGCCTGCAATGTTGTGTTCCAAACCTATGCTGGCTTCAGCGTATGAAGGACTGAGGTTACATGCCATAAACCTCCTTCACTGTTTCGTGGTGAGATGCACCGTCATATCCTAGCCAGGTTGGGTTTCTCCGGTTCTGCTGGTCGGTGTTTAGGTTAGCCTTTTGTTGTTCTGGTCCTGCTGCAGTTAGCCAGGTCCGGTCTCTGTCTAAGATCCTTTATGGCACAAGTCTGCAAAGATCCCTCCTCCTCTTCTTCTTTCCCTGGACAAGAGGCACTTTAGAGCTTACCCATAATTCAAAGGTTTCCATCTCAACCATAATTCACACTGCTCTCTGCTCTAACTAAAGAGGCTGTCTGTGACTACGGTGATTGCATGTTTGTCAAGTGACTTGTCAGTGTAGCAGACTCTGTAGGAGGGAAAGAGTAGGATCAAAAACATGCTAGCACACTCAAAGGAAGCAAGCATAGGAACTGGCATGGTGCATGATCCCTCCGCCATATATAAAATGAAAGGATAAACAACTAAGTAAAGTCAATGAAAACAAAATCATCCAAATAAATACATGCAGAGTGAGCATCAACTTGCAGCCCCAAAATGGATGGATGCATAAAACATAATAAATATAGTGCTTATATTTTTTTGTTGAATACTTGGGAACCTGGACGTTGAAGTCGTAACAAAATCAGGATCCCCATAGTAAAAAAAAAAAAAAAAAACTTGAAAAAGTAAACTTGGTTTAAAAAAAGTATAACCACCTTATTTGTTAACACCTAATGATTTCTTTTTACTTTGCATATCAAAATATCTATTTCTAATGGATTTAGTTGTAATTATTTTGTGCTTACAAAAACAGCACTGCAACTGTGTGTGGGGGTGAACAGCTCCAGAGTCTGCAGACACTGAGTTCAAAAACACAATATGGCAGCTCCTGTAAAATAAGACCTTGTGGCTTCAATTTTGAGCAACCAAAGAAAGCAAAGACATTTCATCCATGTTGATGAGCCAGTGAAATTATATACCTAAGATTATTATGCTTCTTGACCATAACATGTTTTAGAATACTAGATGTTAGAAGTAATAAAAAGTATACKTAACGTTTGAGGGAATTTACTCAGGTTCATCAGCCAAAAGAAGCATGGCCTGTATAATACACTGTTTTCTTCTATCCTGCTTTATCTTAAACCATATTGACAGTGCAACTCTTATGTGTTCAAAGTACATTTCAAACTGATTAGGATGAAAGAAAATGGAACTTAAATTCCAAATTTTAATGAGGTATTATATCATAAAAATTAAGTTTGGCTAGTAGCGAACAGGATTAAATGTGAGCAAATCGACTTATGGAAAACCCTTCTGGTCTATCAATGGCTATCTTAACACAGCATGTCTGTGTTTCCATTTCCAGCAAGGGAGGAGAGTATGGGCTGAGCGACACAGTGGGATCAGATAAGACTGATGATGACAAGGCAGAGGGAATCGATGACAAATTTTTGACAGCTCTGGCCCATGTCTTCAGACCTGGCCCTTCTGTTGACATATAGATCACAGTACACCTCGAAACACACACAGATCCACTGTTAGGCCTGCAGATACTTGGGTAATATGTAAGTGATTAGCCTGGCCAACCGCAGGAAAACAGCAGCAGAGTCCAGCTCTGGCAGAAAATAACCACACAAAATATCTGGAGATGTTACATGAAATTGTTTCTCAGTTTCCCCTCTTACTTCCGTTAAGAAATCCTTGTCCTTTAACCTTTCATGTGGGACCAAAAACACGCTGAAAACAATAGGTCAAACACGTTGTCACCGCTTTACTTATTGAGTATTGAGAATGTGTCATCGACAGTCCACTGGCCAAAAGAACAAAACGCCGCCGCTCTCAAACACGTGATAACCACAGAGAAATTTCATTAAGCTGTGACTTCCTCTCTGTTCCTTTCTTACATCAGAAGTTCAGAGGTCAAGAGGATCTGTTAGCGGTGACAGAAAGGATTATGGGTGTAGGCATTCCATTGGCAGTCATTACTGCCCTCAGTCAGCACCCGGTACTCCCTCTCGTCACTTTTTTCTCATCCTCCCTGTTCTCTGTCTCTTCTCTCTCGTGTCCTTTGACAGGCTAAGAAGCAATTAGTGTCACATTAGTGATCCATGGTGCAATTTGTTACTCATCCCAAAGCTGCTGCTGCTCCACGTTTATTTTTTTCTAAATTAAGTTTTTCTTTTACCCCCCCCCCCTTTTTTTTTTTCTTTGTAAATCTGAAACTCTTATTTAAACTCATGAAAGTTTATATAATATCTAGGCTGTAAAAGAAGAACAGAGGCCTTGTATAATTTGACCAACATCTCAACTTTGTCCGCAGCTTTTCAAACTGTTACTCTACATTCCTTTTACATTACAATCACCTATCCAAATACAATACTCAAAGAGAAGGAAAAATGAGTATGAGCAGAAATGTGAGGTTTGGACCCCTGCACCAGAACCCCAGCCCAGTGGGATTCTTCACATTCCAGGCTGTGCTGGAGCTGAAGCTGGTAATAGATCTGAGCAGGCCTGCTGGGCTCAGCACATTGTGGCCTGTCCTCCTTTCTTTGGTTTTCTGCTTTGGAACAAGACAGCTTCTCTCCTTGAAGGACACCTTACTGAGAACAGCCTCAGGTACTGACTTTTTTCCCCTATGGCATTAAAAAAAACACACATGAATGCATTTTTATCCCTTCCTTTCCACCRTCCCATGCAGCCAGCATCGTGGTAACAGGATAGTGGGAGTTTACATCACGGCAGAGCGAGGGGCTGGATCTTTTTGACAGTAATGCAAGGGACACTTGTTTACCTAACCTTATGGGTCACAGTGCAGTTTGSAAGGGAATGAATGACTTCATTTCAGGGTTTAAATTAAAGGGTTCCTCCTCGCTCGAACTTAAAACAGATTTGTGCCGACTTTGGAATGAAGAAAAGTAGTGACTCCGTATATACAGAGTTCTCTTCTCCGGCTAAAACAAAAAAGTGGCAAAAGAACTGTAGTAATCGCATCAGCGTGAATCTCCTAAAGCTGCTGTAAATCTGTAATTTCACAGCGCAACATTTAACATATTTATTTACAGTTTTTACAGCCTTTTCTAAATCTAACTCACGCYCCGCACATATAAGTTGGATGATTCTTTCATTCACGCTGACATGGTGTCAGTTACTTCAATGGTTATTGGGCAACGCCATATTTGAGGGAAATTGCTACCTTATGTGCCTTTAAAAAAACCACAGGGTTTTTGAATGGGACCTTTTAAAAAGAGAGTAGTGTTTCATTTAGAGTTGGTGGTCACTCTGGCGATGTGATTTTTTTTTTTTTTTTACCACCGAGAAGCATTGGAAGCATTAACACTCACACATGGCATCAAGGCCTGCTGCGGTGGTGATCAAGTGCTTTGGAGATGCCGGGACACCATAAGAGCACAAATTAGAGTTCATCTCTGCCCCCCACCCCTCACACACACACACACACACACACACATCAATACTTTCAGAGCTACAGAAGCACGCTTTTCCTCTCGCTACAGTCTTTTCATGCTGCGTTGCTCGTCAAAGGCGAATTGATTAAAGGCCTTCTTTTTAAATGACTTCCTTTTTAGGACCATTATTTGCCAATAACCAAAAGAGAGCCGATTGAGATCAGTAGTCTAATCTGTTGTTTCCCTGTCCTTCTTGTTGGTGTTTTTGTTAGAGCTCAGCAAAACGCGCTCACCCCATTTTTCCTGTCAGTCATCAGGTTGTAATACTGGGGCTCATGGCTGTAACTTAAGACTGCTCAAGGACTCACGCAAGGGCCCTTTTTTCAAACAACGGAGAGAAACAAGTCAAACTCTCTGACAAATAAGCCATGCCACACAGAGTCTGTAACTCTGCCGCCCAGGGGGGAAAAAAATTGCTTTGAAGCTCCAACAGAAAAAGAGAACTTCTCCAGTGTAGACAGGGAAACGTGAAAGGGGTAAGAGCTGCCTTTAAGATAACAAAAATCCTTGAGTCTTTTATCCTGCAAAAGATACACAACTGAAGGATTATCTAAAATGAAAACAAGTCACTTTTCTGCCACTCAAAGTATAAAAAGCTGAAGCATGTTTTAACTGCTTCTTGAGTAACAATTTGGGCTATGATTAATTTTAGTATTAAAAAAACAACAGCTGGATAAAATAAAGAACAAAAAACGATATGAAATGATAAGGACTTCTGTTCCTGCGTCAGCAGAAACACCTACAGTGTCACCATTCCTCAAGGCTCTAATCAGAACACACCATCTCCCTTCAACTTCAAACAATCCTTCCAAACACCTGCTTGTATCTCCCCCCTGCATCTGTGTGGGTTATACCACCCATTGTTGTTCGCCTGTTTACAGACGGGATCTCCTCTGGCTACCTCTGGACAGTTATTCCTTCTGTAGCCACGCATCACGTCTCCTCGCAAGATGAAGAGCTGAAAGAGATGAAAAGCAGACTCCTGGCTCTCGGGGAGGGGGTGGGGGGAACCCGTTGCAAAGGTAAGAAATGCGTGGTTTTTGAAAAAAAAAAAAAAAAAAAAAGTTACATTCATCCAGGTGGTCCCAGACACCCTATCACAACAGAGGTCCCAGATTGAGCGCCATCAAGATTGGGTTAAAAACAATGCAGAGGTATGCTCTTATCTCTGACTTTAATGATTAATCTGATCAAACCAACTTCTCATGTGTCAACACCAGCACTCTCTGATCCCTTTCGACTCGTCATCTGAACAAGTAATAACAAGAAGAGTTATGTCTTATAGCAGCTTCACAATCACCTTCATAAGATGAGGCGCCTAGCCTCAAAGAGAGCTGTATTAAACACTAGACATACTGCATGACTGAAATGGCTAATCTGCCAGATCCTTTGCAAGACATTCTCATAGTTGGCTACAGAGGCTCACTGATATGATGTCTAGTTTTATAAAGGGACAGATAATGGATCAAAATCTAATATTTACTGCTCTCTTTTGGCGGCAGACAGTAATATGTGTGTGGGTGTTTATGTGCATGCATATTTGATTATTTTTCATTAACAAGCTTTCATTATGCATTAAATACTCAAAAATCATTTACTGTACACTTACTATATATATATA